CCCTACAGCACTAAACATGTCCATCACCCCAGGTCACACGAAACCTCAGCATAGTAAGCCCCTGGGGAGAGCTCACTGACCTACCCAGCCCCAGTGAGCACAGAAGCTGCAAGAGCAAACACTGCTATCTTCCAGTGAGAGTGAACTGAACTCAGGAAGCTTTATGGCACTGTAACCCGCCAATTTGGCCAAAGATTAGACAAAAAAAACTTTACAGGTTATGATTTGTGACTTGGTGGTGTCTTAAGTTACTGATCACAGTCCAGAGTCAGTTGCACCTACTCGGAGGAGCTTAGGTAGCTGCTCAGAAGCCAAAAACCCCCATCCTAATTAACCTTTTATCTCTTCACAGATGATGCAGAGAGCTCCACAGTGATGCTGCCTTAAAGTCACACACTGAGGTGCTGCATGGCAGGCTCAGAGGATCCTCAGAGTCAAACCCAACTGGCAACTGTCAATACTTAGTTTTAAGAGACAAAAACATATTGAATAACAGCACTGACTTCATGCCAAGCTCTAGCTCCCCAGAGGCCTTCCCAACTCCCAACACACACAAAAAACTGAGCAGTTTACAAAACCAGCCTGTGTGAATAGCATGGCAGGCAGACTAAAATGTGCTTATCGTGCAAGGACTGAGAAGTGATTTCAAAATGAACACAAGTGGAGAAATAACAGCAGAAATCAGTGAAAACACATTTTACAAACCAATAATCCAAGGAAATAGAGGCAGAACTCCTCTAAACACATGGAAAGCTTAGGTTTGCTTTGCTTTTAAGAGCTTTACTGAAACGTGAATTAGGTATTTAATTTCCCTGTAAGAGGTTCTGAGGTTGCCACCATCCCTTTAAGTACAAAATAATCTGCTCATTAAACAGCTGCAACAAACTCCATTAGCCTTTGGGATCTTGTTTTCCCTCATTTAAAAACATTCTCTTTGCCCACTGAAAAGCTTCTCTGCTTCTTGAGGAACAGCCAACAACACACTTCATAAATCCATTGCAGCAATGACTGTAACAACTCAAAGAACTCCCATAGACCAGCAAAAACCAGGAAGATTCTCATCCACAGGAACCCTGACATTTACTGACAAACGTAGACAAATCCAACATTCATTTAAATAACTCAAACCATCTGGGAGCAGTGCCAGGGGAGTTCCACTTCTAAACCTGAAACTCAGGCAAGTTACTTTCAGTTTTGCTTCCTGCAGTGCCAAGTGAAGCTTGTTCAGGCACAGGATTTTTCCACTGTCACCCTCCTCTCCCAATGCCCATTGGCAAAACCCATGATTTGCATCGTTCATCTCATTTCCCTCACTTGAAGGAACGTTTCTATACAAGACTCACACAGCTCTCTGTAACCAAGAGCTCAGTTCAGTCCATGACAGACCCAGAGACGTTTTGCACCTCTGACACAAATCTCCAATGCACAAACAGGATGTATTTTTAGACTAAAGCCTTATACATGCTCAGAGTATGTTACTAATAAGGAGGAGTTGATTGATGATCCTTGTGGGTCCTTCTAACTCAGGATATTCTGTGATTCTGTAAGTAGCAGTGAGAAGAGATAATTACACCTGAACTCACATTTGCTACCAAGACTGGGCCTCCTTTCAGCCTTGCCTTGGCTGTGACACCCTGGGGAAGCTAAAGGCATTAATTTTCCCATCCCAGCTCAGCCACTCACAGAACCACAGAATCATTTAGGCAGGCAAAGACCTCCTAGATCATCAAGTCCAACCTATGACCTAACACCACCATATCAACCAGACCAGACCACAGAGTGCCACATCCAGTTGTTCCTTAAACACCTCCAGGGCCGATGACTCCACCACCAACCTGAGCAGCCAATTCCAACGCTTAACATCCCTTCCCACAAATCTAACCCCACCATATCAACCAGACCAGACCACAGAGTGCCACATCCAGTTGTTCCTTAAACACCTCCAGGGCCGATGACTCCACCACCAACCTGAGCAGCCAATTCCAACGCTTAACATCCCTTCCCACAAATAAATCCTTCCTGATGTCCAACCTGAACCTCCCCTGAAACAGCTCAAGGCTATGTCCTCTCTTAAAATCACTAGTCACCAAACCAAAACCACAGCCACACACCCTTAGGGGCTGGACCCACCTCCCCATTCCTCCCCGTTCCCACGGGGCTGGACACACCTCCCCATTCCCCATTCCTCCTCGTTCCCACAGGGCTGAACTCACTGCTCCCCATTCCCACGGGGCTGGAACCACCTCCCACTCCCCATTCCCCAAGGCTG